GCCCCGCGGGGGCAGCTCGGGGGCGGCGCGGGGCCCTTTTGTGTCACCCCTTCCCTGAAATCCTCGGTCCCCCCAGCCCTGACCTCCCAGGAGGGCTAAAAAAAATGGCACCCGACTTCAAGACCTATCCCAGAGCTATTCTGCGTCTTGGTTCTAGGCTGTTTCGTTCAGATGTTTAGGCTTGTAGGTTTCCGGTGCTAAAAAAAATAGCTCTCTGGAAAGTCAGGGATGTTGGTTGTCCCCCCCCCCCGTTGCCGTCCGCAGACCCGTCCGTAGCAGCGCCTCCGGCGACACCCCCGGCCCCCTCTCCTCGCGCGCCCGCACGGGGCGCCCAGCGCCGACCGCAGAGATCCGTGTGCGGACCTCCACGGGTTCCTGCTCGTGCGCCCTGGCACGCCGCCCCGCCTTCGGGGGAGCGAGAAGGAGCCGCTGCGGCTGCTCCAGGGGGGCGCCTCCCGGGGCGCGTTCGGACCAGAATGCCGAAGAGAATCCAGCCGTGGTGGCGAGCACTCTCGAGAACGAGCAGCGGCATCGGTAATTACCATTCCCCCCTCGGGGCACTGCGCTTCGAGAGCGGCGTGTGACTCCGCGCCCAGAGCTCCTCCTGCCTTGCGATGAGGAAGACTTCCCCACCGGCCCCCTCCGGCGCCAGAGGCTTTCGCAGACCGACGCGGCGCGGCGAGCCCGGCACGAGCATGCCCTGACCTTCCAGAGAGCTATTTTTTAGCACGGGAGGCCTAAAAACCTAAAAGTCTGAACGAAACAGCCTAGAACCAAGACGTAGAATAGCTCTGGGATAGGCTTTTAAGTCGCGTGCTATTTTGTTAGCCCTCCTGGAAGGTCAGGGATGAGGGTCGCGAGATGCGGGCCCCCAGCGGCACGACGTCTCTACATGACGCGGCAGGCCCTGGGGGGAAGCTCGGGCCCTCCGACGGCGTGCCAGAAGTCGCGACGGGCGCTGCTGCCCCGCCCGTGGGGCACCCGGCGCCACGCAGACCCATCCACAGCACAACGGCAGGAGGATGCGGGTGCGGTGTGGCTCGCGAGGTCGGGCGGTGGAGCCCAACGAAGAGCGATCCTGCCCCCGTGGAGGGGTGCGGCTGCGGGCTCCGGACGGCGTCGTCGTCGTCGCGCGCTGCTCCGTTGCTCCTTCCCCCCCCCCCAACGGTGCTCCCGTCGTGTCGTCTCCGTGTCTGCCGTTCCGCCCTCGTCCTTGCCACGTGGCCCCCCGTGCGCCGACAAAAGGGAGTGTGCTACTCCGTACTCCTCGGGGCTGGACGGGCACCTCTTCAGCAAAAAAACGCCCTTTCGTGAAAGCGACCCGGGACCAGACCCGGCGGGCGCAGGCCTGCAGAAATCGCGGCCGCAGCGCTCTCTCGAACTCGGAAACAAAGCAATTCGCTCATCACCTTGGCAGGGTGCCTCCTCCACCCCCATCGTCCTCGTCCTTGCCCTCATCTTCCCTTCCCTTTTCCTCCTCTTCCTCGTCGTCGTGGTCGTCGTCGTCGTCTTCCACCTCCTCCACCACCTCCTCTTCCCCCTCGCCCCCACGCGGGCCCCCGGGACGGCCCGAAGAGGCCTTCCAAGGCCACCCCCTTGCTCCTCGAGATCTCTCTGCTCGCCCTGGTTGCCCGGTTGGTTTCACCACATGTGTCTCTCCGTCCTTCTTCCCATCAGCATCAGCTCTCGTCGGCAGGGTTTCTGACGTGGCTGGTGAGGACACTTTTTGGTCGGCGGGGCGAGAGCGAACCTCTTCCGCTAAAAGCTAGGCGGGCTACGCACAGCTTTAATTAGAGAGACAGGGCACAGGCGGGCGGGGCCTGAGGTGGCCGGTGGGCGGGGCCCAGGGTGCAGGCGGTGCCGAAGAGCATGCACAGGAAAAGGTACGCCGCGGACAGGGGCCGGAGGCGAAGATCCGCAGGCCGGTGAGGACACGCGAGGCGTGAAGAATTGCACCAGCCTCCGAACTTCTGCTCCTTCGCCGTCGCCGCGCACGCCGCCGCCGCCGCCGTCGCCGTCGCCGCCGCCGTCGTCGCCGCCGTCGTCGCTGCGGTCGCCGCCGTCGCCGTCCGCGCCCTCGCCGCAGTCGCTGCCGTCGGGCCGTCGCTGCCGCAGCGCCCCTCTGCCCCGGCGGCGCCGCCCCGCGCCGCGGAGGGAAAGGCGCGCACGGCGGCGAGGCGCCCGCTCGCCTCCACGGCCCTGGCGGCTGCCTGGTGCTCGCGGAACCTCCGGCGGCCCGCGGCGGGAGCAGAGCGGCGGCCTTGCTCGTGAGGGCGGCGGCGGCGGCGGCGCGGGGCGGCGAGGCTGGCGACTGCCCGGAGCGAAGGACGGCTCCCCTGGCCGACGGCACGTCCCCCTCCTGCCTCGTCCTCCTGCCTCCTCCTCCTCCTCCTCCTCCTCCTCCTCCTCCTCCTCCTGCCTCCTCCTGCCTCCTCCTCCTCCTCCTCCTCCTCCTGCCTCCTCCTGCCTCCTCCTCCTCCTCCTCCTCCTCCTCCTCCTCCTCCTCCTCCTACTCCTCCTCCTCCATTCCTTTTCCTTATAAATCACTTTTCCCTGTCGCACCCCGAAGCCAGTTTTTAGGGAGGGCCGGGCGTTTCGCCTGAGACTTCCTCACATTGGCAATCGTTTCATCGATGGAGGGTGGGTCGTTTTCAATATGTGGCTCTCGTCTGAACGCCGCGCACATTCGTTTTAACAGTTGCAAGAGTTTGACGGATTGAGAGCGGCCCGTTTTCAGAACTGTGACTCTCGCCTGAGCGCCGCGCGCATTCGTTTTCAAAATTGCAAGAGCTTCACGAACTGAGGGCGGCCCGTTTTCAAAATGTGGCTCTGGCCTA